CCGATAGCGTTTATTCTCGTTGAACGTAGTGTAAGTAATTGGGTACCTCTCAAGTAATATTTACTTGAAAAAAAATCAAGCACTAAGGCATTTATGTACCCGGGTTCTTAATGCAAAAAGCAATGTAAGTACTCGGGTACCTATCGTCAAGCACATTCACTAGCGAGGGCTGACAATAATGGACCGGAGCACAGGACGAACGTACACTTTTTATTCTAATTACCAAGCGCCATTCACACCTAAACTGCACATGAATATTCGTTTTAATATAAGATTTCCTCTTTTCTTACATTTCTTATTTCAAAACAAAAAATTCTTCTTCTAATGTGTTTACATAAAAGAAAAGTACAGGATCAAGCGCAGAATAAAAGCGGAAAAAAAAGCGGCACGTTTGACATGTCAATTCATAGTAAAGCAATAAGATTTTAAAGTTTAATTTTGTTCCTTCGAAGAAAGTATATCGTTATTTTCACCTGCCTGTCTATCCAATAAATTCTACTGCGTTCTTTTACATTAAATCTACGCATATGAAACACGAAAAACAGCCATTAAAAACAATATTCTTTTTTTTTTGTTTTGATATAATTTTTTGTTGAACCCGGGTACATAAATGCCTTAGTGCTTGATTTTTTTCAAGTAAATATTACTTGAGAGGTACCCAATTACTTACACTACGTTCAACGAGAATAAACGCTATCGGTTAGCGCTGCCTGTAAAAAAAGTTATCTTAATTGCAACCATCGAGACTTCAAAAATGAAACCTTGAAAAAAATGTTTAACTAATAGTCGTTATTTATTGTCCAAAATTTCAACTCAATCCGTCTAGCGCTAAAAATGTCGATCTTTCAATTTCAAATAATGTTTGTATCACTTCTTGTTTTCATTTTCATTCATTCCTACTTAGAATAAAAATATACAAAAAATAAAAATACAAAAGCAGCAATAGAAAGAATTCTTCCATAATATTACAATGAGCATCGTTACTTTCTCTATTTTTAGAAAAAAAAGGTATACGAACAATAAACGCTTGAAAAAAACAATATTTGATAAACTATTATGTACAGCACAAATATATTCACGTAACATCATAAAAAGAGAATAAAAATGGATAAATGGAAAAAACCAGAACAATCCCTTACTTAATCAATGAAATATGAAATACATTTCGACTTTCGTCTCACTGGAATAAGAGTATACGTATAACTGAAATGTAACTCGTCGTTGAAAGAGGCATATAATTCTATAGATAGAAGAAAAGACGAAAAAGATAAAAAAAGGACATTAAGTGGTAATAAAATGATATGTGCACCATATTTTCTCTGCTTTCATTATGTCTAGTGCTAAATAAAAAATAATGGAAAAACAATCGGTATTTACAACAAACATAAGGAACAGAGGTATAAAGCAATAGCGAAACAGTTAACAACCTTAATATAAAATCTTTTGAGCAATGTCTTGATGGAATTTCTCAAATTAAATTATTTTATGGATGCCATTGTGCTACATTTTTTTACTCTAATTAAGCATTAATGAGACGTTGTGAAAGTTCAGATGTTCGAAAATCACTCGTTGAATAACATTCTTGAAGTCCAGCATCTTTGATGTAATCCGCAAGGCATTGTTCAATTATATTCGGATCAATATTAACTTGATACGTCTCAATATTTCTATCTACAGTCCATGAGACTTGATCAGTTAAGTTTTTCTGTTCAAACAAAATGAGTTTATTAATATGTTTCAACTTTTCTATTCTTCCTTCCCACAATTTCATTAAACATAATAGTTGTTGAGCTGATTGTTGTGGATGAATTCCTCGGATTTCAATTGTCTGTTCATGTAATAAATTAATAGCATGATATTTCGATTGGTGTTGGTTATATGAATTCATTTCTGATGCCGTACTAGATATATAACTTTTATAATAAACTCGACGATTAATTACTTCGCATAGCGCATCAATTGTCAGTTGAGATTTATCAAATTCATCGATTATTTCGCTAAATTTAAGGATAAAAATATTATTCACCCTCAAGCGAAGGATATCACAACGTCTGATACTCTCACATCCTAGTATTCTAATACCAAGGCGATAAAAAATAACTAGAAAAGAAAAAAACTTACCCAAATATTTCCTGTTGTTCTTTGGACAGTATGGCTAATGGTGGTGCATTTAATAGGTCTAACGCTAATCCGCCGAGAAATAATTCGGGTCGATTCATTAAATCTACTAAAAAATTTCGGAATAATATTGAATCATTACCAAAATTGGTTTGTTTGTCCAGATGAATATGACCACCGCCAATTCGATCATGAGGTTTTAAACCGATTATCACAGCTGTATCAAACAATATTTGTTGAATAGTGGATAGATTTTTACTTAGTGCCAATGATGTCATTGGAGACGAACCAACTTCAAAGACCCAATCATCACTGTGTAAATATAAGATTACATCACACGAGGATAACGTCAATGTGACTTTCACATAACCGTAAGAGTCTTTTTCAAATTCACCAATATGTACAAAAGGATATTGTAGACGAACTTGTTCGATCCATTCGTTCAACAAGTTTGTCGAGTAAGTTTTATAATCTGTTTCATTTTCACTACGAGCGAGTTCAATAAGTGTATCATTTGTAAATGTAAGCTCAATTCCAAACAGACTATTTGAAGATGACGGTGTCTGAGGACTTTTATAAATATCAATTAATTCTTGATAGAGTATTGGAAATAATTGGTCGTACGTAACATGCCTCGATTCTTGCTGAGAGTCTCGAGGACTGCACGTTCGTCCCATTTTATCTGAGGAATTTATTGGGGTACTTGTGCATAACATTTTAGTATTTTGAATTGAAACTGTTTGTCAGCTAGGTAGGAAGAGAAAGCTTTCAAAAGTCTGTACCTCTCATACACGCTATGTTTCGTAGCAAACGGTTCTTTTAAGAACTGGTCTTTAACACTATTTTTATGAACGCCATACTTAAAAACTTTTAATTATCCATTGCCCAATTTCTAAGCCCAGAAACGAAAGGAAAAATAGCTGTGCTTAATTTGATAAAACATGTTTTTTCTCTTATAAAAATGCACATGCTTGGCTATTGTATTACATTATTAGTCAGAAGACTAATGTTCATATAACAGCATAGTAAGTAATTTTGAGATGCAAGAACTCGTAAAACACACGTTTGGACTATGAATACATTTCAACTAAAATTTTTTGTTCGTTCGTCAGTGTTAGATTCGTACCAACCATCTTAACTTTAAAACCGCCACTTACTATTCGAACTGTTTAAGTTATTTTTATTAAAGCTGAAAATTTTAGGCTGCTTTTACTCTTTTTTACACGATACATTATGAAATTTGATGGTATTATTATATATTTTTAAAACTAGTTGTCAGACATGTAGGTGTGATGATATTATATTTTTCAGCAGCATCATGCTGATGACGTATTTAAAACTGTCTACTTTCAAAACAATAAATAAAAAAAATTAAAACAGGAACGAGTGAATTCAATGCTTAAGTCGAAGTTGAAGGGAATGTTTTTTTCTTTTTCTCTTTTTCTTTTCTATATCTGGAATGATCAAACAAATGACAAGGCAAAAGATGGCAAAAAGGAAATGAAGAACATGCCATGTGACGAGATTTCATAGAGAAAAAATATAAACATTTGGTGTTTTTTTGTAGAGAGATCGACATTGACAAGATAATAATGTCAACATTATAGTCTAATAATATAAACGTCTCGCCAATATACTCGGAGTTTTGGGGTCGAAGAGGGGACTCTTTATGCTAGGCAACAGGCTTGAACTATACATTGTGTAATCAATGAAACCAGTTTTTTAACTACATACATCTTTTGAGAAAATCTGCAATATGTTTTATGAAGGCGTTGAATGAAATGTTGAGTAAGGAGTTCATTAAAATAAAAAATTGGTACAAAGGTGCTAAGCGTGATGTGTTCGCCTAAAAAATTTGTTTATATGGATAATTTGTTACAATGAACGGTTGTCTTTTTTCTGTTCTTTTCAATTACGGAATGATGAGCAGCTTACTGTTAATGTTGTTGTCGGTTAATGGTACGGTAACGGTTTAAATTTATTAGTCGTTTGACTTTGTAGTATTCGGAAAATGTTTCTTGTTCGTATAGTTGTTGATTGACAGTTGGGTACCTGAACTGTGAGATATACTCTCGACCGATATAAAAAAGTATTTGTGTTTACACATTTTATCAGATAATGATATTCTAGCGAAACTTCGTTGTTGTGAAAAGTATTCTCGAATAGAAGAATGTGTAACCCTTGATACTCATCGGGAAATTTTGTCACTTGTGTACACACCGTTTTACGACTTTCACTAGTGATCACGTGCGTAAAAGCTGACGCGAAAAATTGCCGTGAGCAGTGTAGGCGTTGTCACAAATGGAATATATTTTTAATGTGTGCCCACGCACCAATTTACGATGTTTACCTGCGACAACAGTTCATTTCACGATATTCACGAGTGCACACGTCGTGTTATATACTAAAATTTCGTCATGGGTAATCAGTTACATACCATGTGGGTAGTTTTTTATAAAAATTCATTGTTCTCTGCTGAAGACTTATGAGTTTTAGACAATCAAAAAAGAAAAGCTCTACGGAAATGAAATAGATCTCAGTCAACATCGTAAACACGGAGCTCTTTTTACCTTTTCTAAATTTGACATAGCCTGAAAAAAATCGTTCCATACTGTCAGTATGAGAATTCTTCTTAAATTTGTGCTACTTTCGACAGAAAAAAATGTTGAGCCACACTAGGTTTCAAAAAACTATAATAATATAGTAGTATTTTTGATCATTAATATAATAAATATAAAGCTTAATATATAAATAGATTTTTTTGCTTTCATTCCCATGTTGCGAAAATCAGCTAACTTTTAACAATTAACTGCGATTCCTATAATGACTCATAAAAAGAATCACCGATAAATTTCGATTATCAACGATTACTTCTGCAACAACTTTACGACGAAGGAATCCAAAATGAAAGCAACTGCCTATGACTGTAATGAAGGTTTAATTTTTTTCTTTATGTTGCTTTTTCTATAAACTTCTTTATTGCATAAATTGTACTAAAAATTAAAGAAAATTTCCCCCATTGTTACTTTTATTAACGTTTTTAATCCACTCTAGTCGACACACATTATGTGGATGTGCGATGGACAAGAAAAACGACAAAGTTCTAGATGAGAGTAGAAGTAAGAAATTTTGTCGTATACTCAACACATATACCTTTTTATCATTCATGTTTAGTCATTTGAACAAGTAGTTCGACGTACATTGTACTATCACCAAGTTAGCCCTTTACTTTGGTGAAAAGTTGTCAGGATGAATCCGTTTTTAGGACGAGCTTCATGGTTTGATGTCTAGCTGACTAAAGCAACTGTCGATAAGGCCGTAATTCACAACATGTTAAGACTGGAGGTCTGCGAGACGGGTAAAAATCTTTTTTATAGGACCAGAATCGGGATCGAGACGAGGACCTAGAGATCTGCGAGACGGTCCCAGTTCCGCAAGATTTTTAATGCAACCGGGACCAAGTTTTTTTGAAAATAATCTTGTATGCGGCATAAACATTTAGTTTCTGTGCTTGTTTGTATGTAGGCACTAGTTCCGCGAGAAAGAACTCGTAGAAAACTCAAAAAGTATTCAATCTTTACCACCCACGCATACTGTTCCACGAGCCACATTACAACGCGCTGACTTTCAAACTACCAGCGCTACTTTGAAAAAATATTTGCGGGAACACGGGACCGGGACCAAAAACGACTTCTTTCTAGGGGTCGGGGACCGGACCAAAATTTTTTTTCTTCATGGGATCGGGACCAAAAAGTTCGGTCCTGAAGGCTTCCATTAAGACGTCCCACACTTGGATGTTTTTGTAGTTTCTTTTTGGAAATCTATTTCTTCATGAACATAGTACATATTTGTTGCACGCCAAGGCTGTAAATTGTGAATACAAACATGGAGTTTTTGTTTTTTTGACAGTTTTTCATTTTCTCCAAAGTTACACAGTTTTGGCAAAAATGGCTATTTTGATGCGTTGATTTTCTGTTAGTTTATTCTCAAAAAGGAAATTATTACAACCAAAACGAACTACTTTGATTGTAATAATTTTTTTGTGCGATTGATTTAATTTATCATCCTACAGTGTAAAACTTGACAGGAAAAGTGAGTAACCATACCATTCACTTTTGTCTGTTGTACATCCAGGATACAAATAAAAATCTGGCTCTGTTAAGTCATAGCGTTGAATCTGCGCTCCATTTTAAAACTTTCCCAAGCTTTCCAGCATTTGAAACAGTGGAGAAATCTGGAACGCTCGAACACGTAAAAATGAAAAAACTCATTTCGAGATACGGTGGCCCTGGCGGCTGATACATTTTTAGGGCTCCTAGCGAAACTCTCATAACTTTTGATTAGAAGATCATCTGAAGCTAGGCGATGTCTCATTTTGATCAAAACTGTTTGCTCTATATTGTGATTGAAAGTAATTTTGAATTCCTTTTTTTATCAAAAGGTGATATTTTTGGAAAAGTTAGTTTTTAAGGCTTTTAGAAAGCTTTTCTAAAATCCTTCATATCTCTTCGATGAAGACCAAATAGCTATGGATCCTGATAATAGACACCATAGGCTATCGAATGATTTGTTTTTTTTAAAAAGTCGTCTGTTTCTGACGGAGGGACTTATGAAGATCCTATAATTATACATGGTGTATGTCTGATTGCTAGTCCTCAATCAGTTTGGTCCGAAAAGCTGTCAGACTTCATTAAAATATATTTTCTGATTCAGAGATGAAAGTTCTAAGCTGTTCTGAATCTGGTGCGAAATCAGGGCTGAATATTCTAAAAAAGACACTTTCCGAAATTGCAGAGGTAGTTCCGATCAGATTTTTCAATTCTGAATCAATTATTAGAAGTAAAAGCTTCATGTAAAATAATAAAGATTCCTAACCAATGAGAAAAGTTTAAATAGTAAAAAAATTAGATAATTTGATTATTATAAATATTTAAGAGCAGTATTATCTTGAGTAGAAAGATATTACCGTTACTATCAAGCATACTCGCTAAGTCGTCAGCATCATGTGGTTATTGAGTCAGCCCTAAATGCACTGGCAAGGATATTCAGTTCTGAATCAGTAAGAAGCCAAAGAACAGAAAAATACTTTTTATGGAAAGTAATTTTCAGTCTTTTCAAAGCCGATTTGGGCTCTGATTCAACTTTTCAGATTGAGCTGATCGTTGACTATTGATGACTGTCATAAATGAAAAAAAGGTATTCACTCAAAATCTTGAAATTTTTGTTCATAAGATCTTGCTTTAGGTACAAGAAGTTTTACTAGGGTATTTATGTCATCATAATCTCTTAAAAGTTTATATATATATTATTTACGATTAACTGGTGCCCAATGGGCCTATCAGTACAAATAGAGAATAATAATAACTGACATACATTGCAAAATAAGAATAAAACTTTAAGAGAAAAAGGATAGACACAAATATCTCGATATCAGGACGTAGATATTAGAAAGTAAAACACAAACTTTATAGAAAAATTATCTTTTGTGCTTGTCTGACGAAAAAAAAAATATTTGAAAAAGTAAATAACAATAACTCCCCGAAATATAGAGAAGAACATCATAAAAAAGATTCAGGAAAACATTGCAGTAGATTAATATCACAATCAGAATAGTGAGGAACAGAACTACAACAGTTAGCATTATACCGCATTGAACATTTTTCAAAAAAAGAGGTAT